AGAGGAAAGTAACCTCTGTATGACGACCATACAAACCGAAATTCATCATAAGCAAATAACGTCGACTATCTATTGGAACCATAATTCCAATTACTTTATTCTCATATTTATAGATAAACTTCTATAAACGAAAATATGGCGACCATATTTGAAATAAGGAATATATATAAAATGTACTGTATATGTTTTTCTTTAAACATTAATATTAAGTAACCTGCAAAAGGTGTGCTGCTAACTCGGTATAATAGGGTTAATTTGTCCTTGAAGAAAATAAAACTTTGAAGTGTCCCGAGCCTGTTAATGTAAAGTTCTTGGAACCAAAAAGACAACGCTCGTATCCAGAATTGCATGGGACATGACAGAATAACTAACACAGTACGTATCACTACATTACCACAAATTTCTTTCTGCTTTATTTATTTTTAATGCCTAGCCACTATAAAATAAATCCTGGAAGTAGCCTAAACATAAGGACAATCCTTTTATCTACCTAACTAACTAGATGGCCTACAGACACCGAAGGTTCATCACCGAATTAACCAAAGCCCTCCACCGGACCCCGTCCTGGGCCAACAAAATCCAGTCTCCTTCAACTCCTATCTCCCATAGATCCCGCCTGACATTATCCTCCCATCTACGTCTAGGTCTCCCCAGTGGTCTCTTCCCTTCAGGTTTCCCAACCAATACCCGGTGCACACCTCTTGTCCCATCCATGCGCGCTACATGCCCAGCCCATCTCATTCTTCTCGACTTAATTACCCTGACAATATTGGGGAGGAGTACAGATTTTTAAGTTCGTCATTATGCAGTTTTCTCCATGCCCCATCGTCTTCTCTCCTAGGCCCAAATATCCTCCTCAACACCCCATTCTCAAACACCTGCAATCTGTGTTCCTCCCTCAGGGTGACAGACGAAGTTTCAAATCCGTAATGTCGCCCGGGATATTTTGTTGTGTGGTGTAATTTTTATACTCCGTGGTCTTTACGAACCATAGAAGAATAGCATATTTATGCACATCCTAGAAGTTTGTAATGAAAGGTTTTACAGAATTTGGAAGAACGCACTATTGTAAATTAAATAAACTGTAACAAATGAATTAGAGAATTGAATGATTTTTAGAATAGCCTTACGTTATGTCTTATACGGCCGTATGAATTCGAATGAATTTAACAATGTTTAGCAACGGTTATAAAACTTAGGTTAGGTTGTCGTTTCAATTACTAAAACTAAGAGTTTGGGTTCAGTAAGAAATAAGGGAAGGGGGACATATTCGACAAAGATACGTGTGTGATCTGGTAGGCGTGTGAAGAACCGTGGGTGTTGCAAACATGTGACCTTAGCTAGCCATCTTGTCATGTGGTTTATGCCATATGGTGTTTTGCTCTACCAGACACACATTTATTTTTGTTTTCTTACACTCTTCTCTCTTCTTTGTTACGTCATATCTCTCAAAATGTTAAAACCACTCGCGTAACCGAGATACAAGCAAACATTTAACTTCCGATCCTCAACTTCTACAATAGCATTAGTAACTTCAGGCATCTTACAGTACAGTCAATAACTAGCTTAGTTCATAACTTACAAATTTTCCTGTAGTTAAGTCGATTATTAATTATTTATTTATAACTACGAAGCGTGGATGACAGTTAAAGATAAATATTGTGTTGTCAGAGACGTTAATGAATGTGGACGAGGCTTACTCGAAGTACCTACCACAGTATTCTCCAGGAAATACTGAATAAAACCATGAACAACCTTAATCAGCATGGACGATGGCCTGCCTGAGATTCGAACCGGATGTATTACCAATACAAGTCCAGAGCGTTATGAATACATTAAACTACTCGACATTTCATTGTAGATAATGAGGCGATTAACACAAAGCCCCAATTAGGATTTGCAGAATTAAAACAATTGAAACAAGTCACTCATTGTGCCATCTCAAACTGACGTGTGCAAAATCGGGCTCAAATGAGTACTTGTCCTTTTAGGTTAAGGGATGGGCTGTTCCCTCAAGGTTACAGAATGCGTCACGTACCACTGGAAGGTACAATAACGTTACTACAGCGGATACAAACGTAGCATTTATTTGTTATTAAGTACAACAAATTACATATTTGAAGAAACTTCCTTCGTTCTGTCGATATGAGTCTGCTTGAAATAATGATTCTACAAAATCAACCATCGTCTCTCTCGTAACATCCTGTTTCAGAAAATTGAATTTGCATTCTTCTTTAAAGCTGAGAGGTATACATTAAAACAGTGAAGAATAATAATTGATAGAGTTCCTTTGTTTTCTTGAGTTAACTGTCGTTAATTGTAGTATTAATATTTTCCTAAGTTACAATAAAGAATATTGTTTAATTTTAAACAAAATAATACGAGAGCAAAAATTGTCTCCTTGTCGCAATTAATTCAATACATTATTAATATTTATATATTGTACGCATAATTAATTTAATTTAGTTGAAAATAACGTAGCAGATAATGGCTAATACTATTTTAAAAAAGTAAAATATTGACAAAGTGAGGAATTTCGACTATTAAGTTTAATATGTAAACTGTGATACAGACAATAAAGTTAATATGGATCTACATGATAACTAAAGTTATTTAAGTGACTTGTTAAACATCATTTTATCTTCTTAAGGGATTTTGGGAATTATATTATAATTTTTATGAATGTATATTGTTACAATTTGTTGTTAAGGTATTTTGGTCTTTATGGGACAATCTAACAACTGTTGCCATGGCAATGCTGTTAAACAATGCCTCTTATATATAGTCACTATAACGTTGATATAAGGTCGTGTTTTAGACTGCGGTACATTGAATCTCGTATATAAAATTAAAATTGTTGGTTTGTATTTATGTTCACTTCTAGCTCGAGAACAGTCAAACCGATTTTTATCAAACATGGCGTGCTTGTTCCTAGAGACCAAGAGCAGAACATGGACAGGTGAAAACTGCGGAGAAGTTTTCTCGGTTCGAATCCCAGATAGGGCTATTCATGTAACTCGGAACCTAAGGATTTTTAAGAACGTCGCCAAAAAAAAAAATGTTTCGGAGGGAAGACATAACCCCGAAAAACTGTCCTTGGTTTGATTTCCGGTGAAGATGTATTCTGCAGCTCGGAAACTGAGCACAATATAACAGCGCACAGACCAAAATTTTTCTTCGAGGAGATTATATCAACTAAGGTCACAAACTCAAGAACTGTCCTGAGTTTGAGTCTCGATGAATAGGTTGGGTTTAGGGTTATAATAATATGTGATCTGAAGTTTTCACGGCAACAAAGTATAATGAATTTTTCTGGGGCTACCAGCCGTGTCAGATGGCTGAATGGAGCGAACGTCCTCAGGTTACTGAACTTCAGTACCCTGAGGACAAGGACGAGAATGGTTCTCGAAACGTTGGTGTTTACGCCATTAAACCACCTGACACGGCTGGTAGCCCGAGAAGAATGCGTCATGATGATAATGCTATTTTTCTGATATTCAATGATACGAATCGAATGATTAGCCTATGGTAAGCTTTTGGTCAATAAAGATTCTTAAGAAATGTAATAATTTGCTAAATTTACCCACAGTAACATTGTAGGCACTCTGATAACCGTATCATAATTTTATTTAAGATATAATTAAAAATTATATTATTTTATTGCTGTAAAAAATTAATTAATATTAATTTTCATGTTTTGTCTTGCTGAAAGAATGACTTCTCGACCATTCATGGCCTTCTAAGTGCATTTACTTCTATACAAAGTAGAAGAATATATGTTTTAAGTGTTGACAATTCGAAGTTTTCGTAAATAATGAATGATAAGAAACTTTATTTTTTAAATGCTACTTTGTTACACTTTAAATAAAAAATATTTTTTGAATATTACTTTAGAATTTTCCGTCATTTTACGGGCAATTTTTTTATTAAATTTACTTACAGAGTTATTCAATTTGTAGCTTAAATGCGTCATGTTTGTGTTGATTAAATATATATTTATTTTCACAGTCTATACACAAACGTTTTAGTTAAATGATGTTGTTAAAATATATAATATTAAAACATTATGTAGTATAAAATATTATATTTTGGCGCTTTTATCGTAAATACGATTTACATTATTTAGCGCTTTTTTATTCATTAAACGACATGTTTCGATGGATAAGACCTCATCTTCAGGTTTATATCAATTTTATAATATTTTAAAATTATTAGATATTTTTATGCAATGTTTTTATGCAATGTATTATAAAAATATCTAATAATTTTAAAATATTATAAAATTGATATAAACCTGAAGATGAGGTCTTATCCATCGAAACATGTCGTTTAATGAATAAAAAAGCGCTAAATAATGTAAATCGTATTTACGATAAAAAGCGCCAAAAATATAATATTTTATACTACATAATGTTTTAATATTATATAATTTTAACAACATCATTTAACTAAAACGTTTGTGTATAGACTGTGAAAATAAATATATATTACAGAGTTATGTATTCATTAAACCATGGATGAGCAAACTGTCGTCTATTTCAGTGCATTATTGCTATTCTGAGAATTTTGATAATATTTATGATAGAAAATGTAATTTTTTAAAGATTCGCCACCTTTTCAGACGTATTTTCTGTTGGTGTCCCTTTTTGTTTGCGTGATTGTCGATTTATACAAAATGGAAACAGTTTATTTTCAGATGACATGTCAGTTTATTTCCCTGTTTGTAATGAAAGAAAGAAAGCAAGCAAAGTCTGCCCTTTGAAGGATTTTTAATTGTCACTTCAGAGTACAGAGTAATTTTCTTTTCGTGAGGTGGAGACATCTCAGCTCACTGAATAAATTCTACAGTGTATATCACAACAGATGTTCGAAGTTCCTTCCCTCTGTCTCACAGTGACGTCGACTGCCACAAACAGCTTTGAATCCCCCTGCATAAAGCAGTTACAATGTAGCCTCAAGTTTATCGGTCAGCTGTCCTCCTGATGCTACCGTTATTACAGGGCCTGATGAAGCAGGTGGGGTGCTGAAGGATTCACAAGGCCATTGCCATGGTAACCCTTATCCTGCCCCTAGCAACGCTGCTGTTCGCAGCACTTGTGCTGAGCGCCACAAATTTAACCGGAGAAAACGTGTGTCACAAGCGAGAAAAGTAAGTTCTGTGTTATAACTGGTTTGGTTTCTCTGCCTACTATATCTAGTATAGTATCTATATATAGTCTACGTCATTCGTGGGAGTGCGCGCGCAGCAGCTGTTCAAAACGTTGAAATGCGCATGACAAGCAAACGTTGTCATATGAACCAATTAGGTGTGACAGATCAAAATGAAAGATGAGGTAAGCTTACGTAAGTGATAACTTATCAACACAAGTATGAATTTAAATACAAAACGGAACCCAAGAAGGTGTTTACGATTCACTTTATTGAAGTTCGTTACTCTTTTAGGTACAATGTGACGATGCGAGTCGTTGTGAAGGAACCAATGAGAGTTAAGACGTACACGTGGTGTTTGAAGGTACCACCACGCTGCACCAAATACAAGATCGAGATGAAAGACAAGTTCATGATTCAGGTTAGTAGCAGACACAGAACACGTGTCACTTTCGTCTGGAGGTTGAATGACCGGTGGAGACATTGTTGCTCTTTGAACTCGCCTGTATCCATATCTTATTGTCTGTATCTGCCTTTCCCAAATTAGGAACAGTGGCCTCCTCCTCCTCCTCCTCCTCCTCCTCCTCCTCCTCCTCCTCCTCCTCCTCCTCCTCCTCCTCCTCCTCCTCCTCCTCCTCCTCCTCCTCCTTCTTCTTCTTCTTCTTCTTCTTCTTGCTCGCTAGCGTTTCTCAACCTACGGTACGCGTACCACTGGTACTAAGTAAGAAAATCAAAATATAGTTTTAACAAAAAAGGTTTTCCCTGAATGTATTTGGTTAGTGGTACATTTAATGTGTTAAATTATAATTAGTGGTACGCCAGCGAAAAATGCTGAGAATCCCTGGTCTGGAACAAATTGGTAAATGGTCACATTATATTATAACCATACAGTTTAATATATTTACAGTTCTCGATACTTCTGAATAGCATTTTAAATAATTTGTTGTAGTTCTGAGACCTCAAACTTTTTATTCGCATCAAGGGAGCCTCAGATTAAAAGTCTGAGAACCACTGATCTATATTCTCGTACCAGTTCTGAGCTACATTTTTTTTAAAAAAAACAGAGTATACAAAAAATGTAAAGGAGTTGGGGAATTCTGACTACATGAATATTTTTTAAATAAGCAACTTCCAGCCTAATCATGTTAACTGGGTCCCTTGTCATCTTGTCAGATTGCGGGTGGATGTGGATACCGCCAGGTAAATACAGCAGCTGTGATTACACTGAATAAGCATTCGCGGAGGCCGACAAGGGGTGGTCATCCCGCTTCTGAGTTGGGCACCGGTCATTCAACCAGCATGTTGCGAAATGTTTTAAAGGGTCTCGGAACGGATTATTTTGATACGAAATTCGTTCAAAAAATTTTATTGAACAACGCAAAGGGCGTATATAAGACTGAGTATAATATTAAAATGGATTATAGGGAAGCAGGGTGTAAAGTTATGGACTGGATTGAACTGGTTTAAGATAGGGAACGCTGATGGGCTCTTGTGAACACGGTAATGAACATTCGGGCTCTATTAAAGGCGAGCTGGTCCGTGCAGTGACTTGTTGGTGGTGTTTTGGTGGGACCTACGTCGCGATCTGGGATTAAGACATTGATCTGTTTCAGACGGAGTTGCGTGAGCGAGTGGTGGATATTTGCTGTGCGGGATACGAACCGGACCGGACTGAGGCCTTCTGTGTGCCAGTGTGCAGCGGATGTCTGCACGGAGTGTGTGCTAGTCCAGACACTTGCCTCTGCGAGCCAGGCTACACGGGCCAGCGTTGCGCTACCGGTGAGGAATGCCATTCGATGCGAATTCCTATGCTGTTACATAATCGTTTTATAGGATGCGGCGAACAAATGACAAATACGTACTAAATTCCCGTTGTGATTTCCATAGCCGTTAATAAAAGATTCCAAGAAATAATACAAATTAGGCAAAATTTTGCTGTGTACTGTGTACAACATTGTACCGCCGATGCCCTACACAAAATTATCTCATACATTTTAATTGATTAGGATGTAGACTTATTAAAACATAGACGTTTTTTCGTAATGTTTGTTACTTCACTGTGTGAAAGTTAAAATAAATAAATAAATATATATAGAGAGAGAGAGAGAGAGAAGAGAGAGAGAGCGTGACAGAGAAAAGAACTTGAAACTTGCCGCTTTATACAGGGTGTTTCAAAAGTAGCTTTACAACTTGAGGGCGAGATATTGGTGAACTGATACGAGAAACAAATAATTTCAGAACATAGAAATGTAGTCAAACACTTCAAGTTTTATGTCCATCAGAATTTTATGGTTCAATGTGACTTCCATTTGTTATGCGGCAGACGTCCCATCTGTAGTTAATTTCTTGCCACACGCGGTGTAGCATCTCCGGTGTCACTTCAGCAACTGCGGTGGTAATTTGAGTTCGGAGTTCGGCCACATTTGCAGATAAGGGTGGCACGTACACTCGATCTTTAACAAATCCCCCACAAGAAAAAATCTAAGGGTGTTAGATCCGGGGAACGAGGTGGCCCACCGACCTGGGAAACGGTAGTTGAGGTCTTCGTAACACTCACCACACAGTCAAATGTGGAATCCCACTTTCCCGAGATGCACGTCTCGTTGACTTGCGTGGACTTCGAGCGAAACTCTCCCTAATCTGTTCCACGGTGTCTTCAGAAACACGTGGCCTACAGACTTTCTTGGTATGGCACACAGATCATCCAGTCTCAACAATTAAATGTCTTGTGATCTCAATTACTTGTTTAACCGTGGATGTTGATCACGGATCAAGTCTTTTAGTTGGGATAGTCGTTGGTTCGGAGCGGAGCTAAGTCCGGCTCAAGGAGAGTTAGAGGTGACTTTTTAACTTCCAAAAACACAACTCCAATTGAAGAAGGATTTATTAAACGGATATTAATGTAGTGCCCAACGGCACTTACAGAATGTCCTGTTGAAAGCGATCCAAAGATACAAAAAGGATCCTATATTACTCCCAACATGAGTATTTATAATGCTCGTCTTAGGCGTTGGTCAAAGGAGTTGGGGCTGTAACAGTATGCACGTGGTGGTGACACATGAGAGTTGCACAAAGACAGTTCGTTCGTATTACTTGGTGACAACTCCAAGCATGTGTGCACTTTTGTGTCAGGCAGCCTTTGTTCCCCTCGATTAGTCATAACCTAAGAATCGAGCCACACAATGTTATCATACAATAAAATTCACACTTTTAATTATACTTTCTTACGTCTTTTATTACAACAAGATTCCTGTACCACGAGTAAATTGTAGGCCTACTGGGTGGTTCCTTGCAATACTGGGTGCGAAATTTCCTTCGAACTTGTGTAGCAGACTTTGTTTCTTCGAACCAAAACACACAACAAGCTCGCTCCGCACCTGTGAAAGTAGCCATCTTGATCACACTGGCCGGGAGCGCTCGCGGTGGCGGTTTTCGGTACTACAGTTTATGTGCATGAAACTTTGTTTGGCTAAATTTTTGCATTGAAAAATATTGCGCACGTCCTTTAAATAAATTTATATTCTCCTGCAAAGTTGTAAAGCTACTTTTGAAACACGGTGTGTTTTACTGAGTAGAATTTATTCAACTCATGAGCCCCTAAGGCACAATTTGTGGACTGAGGTTCAGAAACACTGCAATTGCACATGAGTAAAAAAAGGTGAAAGATCAATAAATACACACGGTATAAAAATCGAAGTTCTTTACCAGTACCATATCACTTTAAATTATTGACACTGAATTAAATATGCCGTCATTAAGTGTTGGCTGTTGGGTTATCAAGAGCTGATTTTAAGTGACGTCTAATTATCTCTTCATTCCGCCTCATTCAATTGTTTCTGTACGTAATTGAAATCTGCTACCACTCAAACTTGTTGGCGCTGCTCCATGTTCCCATCAGAGTGCCGCAAAGGACTATGGGGTTCAGCGTGCACGCAGCGCTGTCAATGCCAGAACGGAGCTGATTGTAACCACGTCACCGGAACCTGCAGATGTACCGACGGTTGGAGAGGGTCCTTGTAAGTCTTCTTTCTAATATTAAATTTATGATTCAGTGTTAAAGTGAATAAAATATTAAACATGGATGTGCCATATTAAATTCTTTAAAGTTTCATGTTGCAAACTTTTGAAATTTAGTACTTTATTCCGATATAGCATTTGGGTTCCCGTATACCAACTGCGAAGCTGTTATTGAAGTTATTGATTCTATACGACTAAATAAGTTAATTAGTGGCAAACTGAAATTTAGACGCTTATTACATATGAAGAGCCAGATGGTCTGGAAACATTAGTTCTTTTACGAATGTTCATATTTTCGAAAAGTAAAAACCGTGGATCACAGGCCAGAAATAAACTGCTTATTTATTATTTACGGTGAATATTTATGTTTAATATGATAAGCAGTTTGACACAACAGACATAAATTGATATGAAAGGGAAGTAAAATGCTAGATCTAAACTGAATGAATTTTAAAAATATTCTACATTTCGTATAAGATGCAAAACAATTTTTTAGTTATCTTACCTGTGTGACTGTTTTGTAAAAACTTTCAAAGAGGCAAACACGCTTGATTTGTAAAAATGTTAAAACTTTCAAAGAGGCAAACACGCTTGTGCCTTGAGGCTTGTGTGTTCATATTTAAATATATTAAAAATGAAACCTGATATTCATTTTCTACAGTAAAATAACAATTTTAAATTGCCTTCTTATACATAATATAGGTAGAAAAAATTGTTACTGTAATATTACTAGCGATAAAATATTTTTCGACTTACTTGTACAATTAAATATGTTTAGATAAGAAATTTATTTTGTCATGTCCATTTCAAACACAGAAACATTGAGCTTCTAACTGTGTACGTATGTTAGAACACATTCAAAGATATTTCATTAACGTAAGACCAAATGCATAAAAAAAGTCTGACAACGAAAGTCAGAAACATTCTTACGAAACTGAAAAATAGATCCGTGTCATGGTGCACTTTTATTATCAAAATTATCTCTACAAATGTAGTTCTTTAAATACCCCCATGCAAAAATTTTTGATTGCAATTTTGAAAAGTGCGTCGTTTTCTCTCACAAACATTTATATAAGACCTTGCTGTGAAGTATATAACTCTTCCTTTAAATAAAATATAACAACTACAGGGGTCCAAATGATTATATTCCGTCACATATCACAAATAAAACGAGTGTACAAGAAATTCCATCAAATCGACAGGAGACTGATAGCATTCGTCATATTACATTTATTATAAAACAAATACTGAAAAAAACTTTAGCATTCAACTTCACAGAATTCCTTACGCACATGATAAGATACTGGTGAAAAATTCATTAAACCTATTTAAGTTAAATACACATGAGTTTAAAGGCTTAAATATGGTTACTTTCTTAAGTTGTAACAAATGTATAAAGCGAAGCTTTCGTGGCGACTGAAGTTGACGAAAGGTTCTCGTGTTATAGTCGGCGCAGTAGTTTTGGCCGGTGGGATTTTCAAGGGGAAGGCTAGGAGCGAGTCACTTGTGCGATAGTATAATGTTGACTGCACCGAGGAGCTTGTCTGACTGAACGCCCAAACAAAAGAAATACACTGACAGTGCCACCTCAGGTACACAGAGTAGGCCCGTCCGCTAGCTTCTCCACCAGCCAAAAACTACTGTGCTGACTATAAGAACATGGATTGAAGAGGTCTGACTTGTTAGTTATTCTAGCCAACTGACGCGGCTTGTAACACGACAGTCTTTCATCATATAACAAATGGTTGACCTTGTACATTATTATCTCTTGTAATCTCTTCACTACAAATGTTTTCGACGCACATTTTAATTACTCGTACTAAATCATTTCATCTTTTATAACGAAACAATTCCATTCCAGATGTGATATTGCCTGCACCGAGGGGACCTATGGCCACGAATGTATGAAAGAATGTGCATGTGAACCTGGTAACAGGTTCAAACACTCAACCTGCCACCACATAACGGGAGAATGCAGATTACCAGACGAGACCTCAGTTGACAACCAGGGGTTGGAGACATATCCTACAACTTCACTTCCAAAGATATATACAACCAGCAAACCCATGGAAACACAAACTCATGACGAAGGAGCTGGTAATAACAAAGATCTTGATGTAAACAGACAAATAGACGATAATACTGGCACAGTCTTACGAGAAACAGAAGTCAGTGATCCTCAGACAGAAGACATTCCACTTTCAGAGACGGAAATAAGCGTCTTTTCGACTGATGATAAATTTACCACATCTGTGACAAGCACAACTACTTCCTCATCTGTGATATCTCCTCTTACCACAGAAAATGAAGTCGGAAAACAGATACCTAACGAAGTTCGTAACAATTCAGTGACGAGTAATATCCCATTACCTGATCATGAAACTAATAAACTTGATTCTGAAACAGACACGAAGGAAGACGATGATAAAGATTTTTCAGAAGAAAGTGAACAGCCAGCCACAATAAAAATCGAAGAAATTGAGCAGACGACTGAAGAAATAGAAATTACAGAACCACAAAACATAAAGATTCCACCACGCGGTGTAATAATCGTTTCTGATGGTTTGCTGTCTGAAAGAAGAGATGAAGACGACAGTGAGGAATCTACAAGCGGTGTCTGGAACCTGGTGTCTAGTGCAAGCGTGGCTGGAGGAGTTGCTCTGTTGCTAATTGTGTTGGCGGCAGTGACGCTGTTTGTGTCGCATCGCAGAAACAAGGCAAAGATGTCAGTTGCCGAGAAAGAGATTACATCTGTCAGGATGCAACGATTGGAGCACGAACAACAATTTCCTGGACCACAGATGTATAACTGCACGAGGGATGTCACCACACTTTCACGTGAGTCGCAATCAAACAGCTGTCCAGTTTCAAAATGTCCGTTCTCTTTGCATTCTGTGCACTCTCTGGAAATTAAAATTTATAATTATTTTATAAAGGAGAAATAAGCTTATGGTATGATCATGTCCCTGTGTCCATCTGTCTCTCCTGCAACAAATTATGAAATAATTTATATGGATTTTTACAAAGTTTCGTGTAAAAGTTCATTTAGACATCAATCACAAATATGGCGTTCATGTAACCTTATGAGGTTGGCGCCTCAGAAGTTCACATGCCTGCCATGTTGTTATTACCAACACTAGAAAATTAAAACGTACGAAGGCAGGGTGGCCTTCAGTGGCATGACTGTTTTACCAAATTTCTCAAAAAACAATCAGCTAGTTCAAAATTGGAAACGACAAAACCTTACACACTCTCTCTCTCTCCCCTCCCCTCCCCATCTCTCCCCTCCGCCCCTCCAGAGCTCTCTGTCTCTGCGTGATGATCTCATAAGCTTACTTTATTTCGTAATGAAAGGAAACTGGGAGGAAAGAGTCTCGGTTCATAAACAAATTATCAATACGCAAACTTAAACAGAAATGAAGAAAGAATGGATAAGTGTACTCCAATTACTGTAGATAAATTTTACAAATTTGTTCTCTGTGATTTTGCATGATACAATGGTCATTATATATTACGTTCGTACAGGTGGGGGAACAGGACAGTCAGCAAGAGCTGACGTGGGGGCACCAAACCGACTTGGGTATTTTCCAAAGCAGTTAGTAATATTTTTTCTTTTAACTAGGGGAAGCAAAATGTGATTATCAGTAGGCTGCGTATTCATATGTTTAATTTTATTGTCTTTGCCGTGCCTCAGTCGGTATAGTGACTAACTACAGGATGGACGACTGGGGTTCGATCCCCGACGAGGGCAGAGGGTTTTTCGTCTAACCTTTGCGTCTAGACCGGCTCTGGGGCCCACCCAGCCTCCTCTACAATGGGTACCGGGGTCCTTTCCCGGGGCGTTATGCTGACCACTCACCCCCATCTAGTGCCGAAGTCAAGAATGAGTAGGAGCTATATCACCTCTCCTCCCAAGCGCCTACATGGCGTGTAGAGGACCTACTTTACTTTTTACCTTGTCCGTTCCTCTTACGTGACACATAACTGTAAGTCAATAATCACGTGTTTAGCGTGAAGCTTACATATCGTGGATCCATTAGATAACATTATTGAATTACGCCATGTTTAAGAACACGTCTTCAACTGTCCGATGGCAGTGCCACAATTGAGACTGGTGGCAGGGATGCAACTGACTCTACACGTACAGTGACATCGAGTTTTTGTAAGAACACGTGATTAGGCAACTGCGCAGTAGCTCCAGATGGGATCAGAAAGGGAAAAAGTCAGCAGCCAATAGTTAAAAGTGTGACTGTAGGTAGTGTTATAAATTGGAAGCATTAGAAAAATTTTACACACACGATGAAAACTAATCTTCAGTTAGCGTAAAAAAATAACGTAGTTAATGGTAAACACTCTACACTCCTTCATTTGAACAACAAACTTTTGTGTAGATCGTGGTTATTAGCAGTTTGTTGGACATGTAAGAACACAGGCCTACATTAAATTATTGTCGTAATGCTATTCTAATTATAAAATATGTTTTAGGATAATATAACTTGTCATGTAATAATAGACTAATACATCCCATTTATCTTATCGCAAGCCTCATTACTTCATGTTTTGATAAGCGCGGGAATTTTGCAAAGAATACCTAATAGCTTTGTCACCATTTATCTGTGAACTTGTAACAACTCAGCTCCTATTTGATAGATTTTTGTAAAATTTTATAGTGGAATATTTTACGTAAATCTACGTATAAATCGGAAGTTCCGGTATAACTAACTTCTTTTTTGTGCTTCTAGTTATCTGTTCTATGCCTAGACGATTTCTGCAGGGGCATTTTTATATCAAATCGTACAACAAAATTTAGGACTAGTGTACGAGGTGCGATCGGAAAGTTTCTAGACTGCCCCTATAAAAACCCGTACACTTATCTCAGGTATTAAATTCATCCATCACCCTCGAAGTAGTTCCCCTGGGAGTGAACACAACGATCCCAGATGGTGCTTGACAGGCTGACAAAGAAAGATTTCCAGGGATGCTTCCAGGCTTGGCAGCGGCGCTGGGATCGTTGTGTTCACTCCCAGGGGAACTACTTCGAGGGTGATGGATGAATTTAATACCTGAGATAAATGTACGGGTTTTTATACGCGCAGTCCTGAAACTTTCCGATCGCACCTCGTACTAATAAATAATTAGTACATGACGTAAAGTAAATATTTTAATAAGTGTTGCGCAATTGTAAAGAGTTGCCCTCGTCTCTTCTGTCCGTATAAATTAAAAGATATCAGCTTTTGTGTAAAACTCATATAAGTTCAAAGGATTAATAACATAATGGCCTCAGCTATACGTGATTCTGTCGGCCAACACTTGGGTTTGATTACAACTACGTACGTTGTAAAACCACGTAGATCTTAACGTGTACCGTGTTCCAGCCATAACACCTGTGACTAATATAAAAAAACTTTTTGTGGCTTTTGTTAGAGGAACTAAATTTATGATTAAATTAAAATGAAATATGCAGAAAGTTGTTTCGTTCTGGAGCATTAGTTTGTGATATCAAATGAAACTAAGCAGATGCTTATGACACGTAAAAACCCACTTTTAAAAAAGGCACTCACAAAATTATACCAACTCAAGCCAAAGCCCACAGTAATTATGAATTTATTGCATTTCTGTGTACAAATTTATCCTTGAGCAGTGAGTACCCGACTGTTGATCAAGTTCCACTGACACCGTTTCCTTTTTATGGCGCTGTGGTCTACTTTTAAGCAATTTCCATGAATTAGTTTTAATTAACTGTAGTTTGTTTCATTGAATTTCAGCTATTATCTTTAAATGTAATTGCATTACATTGCAAATACAGTTTAAGACTTGCACCATCTTGTACCATGGCCCACCTCGGGTGTTTCGGTTTCATGTGGTAGGAATTTAAAAAAAATTAGTTGTACAAAGAGAGCATAAGGATTCACATTTCAAAGCCACTTTAACAAAAAAATGAGCTTAAATTAAATTCATTTAAATTATTTTCAAGTAACGTTTATCAATAATAACAATAAAATTTATACTTAAAAATTTCTAGTTGACCCCGACGTGATTTGAACACGCAACCTTCTGATCTGGAGTCAGACGCGCTACCGTTGCGCCACGAGGTCTGACGTTCGTTTCGTCAGTACTTGAGGATGTGTCGGAACTGCGCTGTAGTTGCTCATTTTACAATTGTAGTTCCTAACTACAACTTCGTCCAACCTCTCCCACCCGATTATGAATTCCTGCATTACCCATCTCACGATAATTTTCTTTGTTGCCTTAACAAGCCTTTAAAATACAATAATTTATTTAAATTCAGTCAGTGTCCATTTGAATTTAAATTCGATTTGTAAACTACAGAATAAAAAAAAATAAGAATTCACTAAACTATTAAAAAACATATTTATACTGACGACAAATAAACAATTATAAAACAAGGGGAAAAGTCAAGCTTCATTTAGAAAACAGTGTTAGTGTAATAAATAATTGGTAGTGAACGTGTTTAAATAGGTCCTTTAGTAATTCTATTTCAGTGACAACCCCCACTCTTTATTTTTGGGCGTGTTTCCAATTAAAGTTTCAAAACCGCATCCTTAAGCCTTTTGTTACCAGAGGAAGACTTGTCGGCACAAGGATGCTGTTGGATAAAGAATCCATCTCGCTTTGAGGCGAAACGGATTTTGGTTTAATATTCCCTGGACCCCCCTCCCCCTCCTGGATGTGTGTGTATGCAGCGTTTCCCTAAAGACGGAACCTACATGAAAACACTTATTTATCAAAATACGGAAATGTAAAAAGAGAAAATTTGTTGCAATTCATGTGTTTTCAATCTCGAATCTTCGATTGTTTTAATGCCTAGGACCAGGTGTTACAGCGCTACACTGTTTACATTATCGATACTAAAATCTTGCGGCGGTGTTGCCACGTTTACATAACAGATCGCTATTAGCGACTCTTCTGTTTGCGACGTTGCCTTGTCGTGTGAAGGTCTACCCCCTTTCTTGCGAGACATGTCAAGGCGACAACATCGGCTTGATAATATAAGTAGTGTGTGAGCTAAACCCGCTTTTCAGTGCATTTCGTCTAAAAGCCCAACAGAATAAATTGTTTTTGGTTGGGCCTTAAGCCGTTCTTGCAACACTTCTTTTTGTCATTGATGTTTATTTAAGCAGTCTTGATTCTTCGGTTGTTTCGGATACGCTGATTAATCTGTTCCTTAACCTCATCACATATTTACAGTCAGTGGAAGCATCATGAAGGATACTTTATCCCCTCCTTTCAAAAAAAAAAAAATTTCTGCTATCTCCATACTGAAATTACACTCTTCAGTAACTTAACTAGTTTTTATACAGACTTAATTCATGTGAAGGAAAATAACTGGATTTCTGAGCAAGGTGAAAGGATTACGCATGTGTTTAGAACATACGTACACTTCGTACATACAACACGCTCCCCCGTGTTCAACTTTGCTTTGCATTCCTAACTGCCCCCGCGTCACTTTCTATTTTGATTTCTTTCCTTGTTTAGCTCAGATTTTGCGATATGGCATAGCCGTGTCTCAGTGCGACTTGTTTCAGCCCCCCCCCCCCCCCCCCCCCCCCCCCCCCCGTTTAAGGAGTCCTACCAGTTGTCGAAAAGCACGGTTTTAAAACCTTAAACATTCTGTAGAGCCACAAGGCAAAAAACCAAGAACAATCTGTAAATTAACTTGAATATCAAATGTTAAAAAACCAAATCACTTCTATGTGCGTCGATTCTCATTTCCATGTGCATTACAGTTGAACATCTGTTCCCGGACACCGAATTCCGGCCTACGTCTAGTCCAGACGGCCTGCAGTTGTGTTTCGGGGATGTGTCCGGCACCATAGCAACCAACAACAATCTCGAACTTCCTTATAACTCCCACAACAATACGAGAGGTAAGTTCACAGAACCAAATTACCAAGCGCGTAACTGATTTCTACCAAAACACTTTACGCAATGGACTGTCGAACTCGTCAAGGATGCAGATTTATAAGTCAGTTCTAAAAACCTTTTTGTTCCTTTGATACACAGCTCCTGAAAGCGGTTAGACGATGGTTTGTTTCTACTGAAAACTGTTTTGTAATGAGCGAAATGACACTGGAGAAGGTTTTTCTCCGAGTTGTACGGCTTTCCCACGCTAATCACTAATCGGCCGCTCCTCTACAATCATTTATCACTGTCTCTGCAGGTGTGCAATAGTTCTGACCAAGCAGTATTCTATCACACCTCGGACCTACGCTAGATGTCAGCACGTGGCTGGTCTCGAGTCAAGTTAGTTCAGTCTTCGAACATGTGTTTACATAGAACTGCAGTTTTTTTTACGTTTGACTGTAGACCTTACTGAGCACAACAAACAAATGTTTAATTTTAGACAATCGTGATTGTAACCAGCATTTTGACCACTATTCTTGTTACAATAACAATAACACAAGATTACTGTCGTTAACTATAGCCCTTGCATTGGAATTTCGTTTCGACATTTAGTATGAGAGTTGCTCGCCAGATTCGCTAGCTGTCGTTTAAAGTGTGGCGCCTACCCGTACCCAACATAGTAACTTACGATTTGAAGTTCCGAGGGCGGTGAGTACGAAGATGGCTGTCTTCTGGGTTGAAGTGCCGTCTAGTCTGGTAGAAATTTACTGATGTTTCAGACATCGTTACTGCCTCTTTCATCAGGACGAAAAGTGATGATTCTTCATGATGGAGGCAGCAAAGACCGTTATTAAACTTTTACCAAACTACACGGCGCTGCAACCCAGAAGACAGCCATCTTGGTAAAGTATATCATGTTACGATGGATACCCTGAAGATGGAAACGATACATTTCTCCAAATTGTTGATAACCACATAATGTACGTCATCACAACCTACCCAAAAGACCACATTTCACAATAGTATGTATTAAATTTTTAATTTTAATCGAAAACAATTCTACTGAATTTTTCGTAATAAGTCAGACATTTTATGAGATAGAGATTTAATTGAAATTATATAAAAGTATGTCAACTGGAAATGTGAACAGAAGCTGTGACGTGCATGGGAAGAGTTAAAATTGTAATAAATGGACAGATAATATACGAGGTAAATAGTATCTGGGATGCCATATATCAACCTACGAAATAAATATGGGCCAGGAAAAGACTTTTGGAATTTGTTACATGGAGTCATTAAAAGATTTTTATGTAAAAATATAAAACCAGAGATACCTCAGAGAATGCATAACGTGCTGTCTTTGCCATCCATCGTGAATGGTAGTGTAGACCAGTGGTATTCAACCTGGGGTACGCGAAGACATGTTAGGGGGTACGTGAAATTTAAAAAAAAATCACATCTGACTGTAGTCTATCTTCCAATTGGCCAACAAACTGAGGAAATGATCACGTAATTGAAATAATAAAAAGTAACTGCCTGATTGCCACGGTGGTGGTCTAGCGGTTAGAACGCTGGGCTTGTAATCCTGGGGTCTCGGGTTCGATTTCCGGCGGTGCCCGAATTTATAACTTTTGTTGGGCAAGGCCGTGGTCTAGGCAACCCGGAGTTTTCCTCCGTGGCATCCCAACAATTACTCCATTCACACACAGAAGAAGGCAATGGCAAACCACTTCTGGATCATCTGCCAAGAACGTATATGAACAGGTCCCAGTCCGAGAAAATGATGGAAGGATCCTGTTCATATGGACCTGTCGTCAGACAGAACACTACAAATAAAATAAACCACTGTTGTAGAGCAGTGGTATTCAACCTGGGGTACGCGTACCCCCGGGGGTACGTGGAATTTTAAAAAATATATATTATTTTATGATAAACACTGAAAAATCAGTAATGTAATTTATTTAATTTATTTTAGATGTAGATTATATATTATGTATAACTTGAATTATACACCAACAACTTTGGGGGTACAAATTTGAAGAGAAATTATATCTGGGGGTACGCGAACAAAAAAGGTTGAATACCACTGGTGTAGATCACAAAATGTCCAGAGAATAGGAACATAAGATGAAGTCTCTGAGGTCAGTGTCAGGAATTATATTGAGGGACGAAGTACGATGTCAAGAAATATGAGTTTTATTACAAATTAAAAATCTAATAAAAGTTATTAAACTATGAAGTAGAAGATGGCTGTCTTCTGGCTTGTGGTGCAGTGCAGTCTGGTATTTTACCAGCATAGAGGCAACAGAGACCTCTGAAATCGTTTTAAATTTCTACCAGACTACACGGCGCTACAATCCAGAACGCAGTGGGAGCAGCGCTTATGCCACTTATGCATAGTTTTTTAGATCTGGTTTAAAAAGAAAAGATATTTGAAAATATTTAACTTCTGTTGAGGTAAATTTAAAAACACGGAGACAATACAAAACGTTGAAGGACATAACTTGCTAATTTATCATATTCAGAATTTGAATCAGTGAAAGTATGCACTTAAATAGTCTTATAATGGCATAGATTATATAATTATTTATAATTCGTACTTCATTTTATACTTACAACTTAGAATGAAGACGCATACGCGGCATAAGGTCTTTACAGAAATTCCTGTTTTTTTTTCATGTATACAGTAGATTCCGGTTAAATGGGCCATCGGTTAATCGGGGCGGCAGTTTATTTGGTACAAATCTTAAAGAACAAACCTTCTTAACTCTTTTCGGGGAACTTCGCATAAATGGGGTAGCCGTCTAATTGGGTCAAAGTGTTCTAGTCCCGATGTGTCCAAATTAACCAAAATAAACTGTATTTTGCATTGTTTCGCTTTAATTTTAATTCAACTGTTGTGTTTCTGAAATTGTCCTTGGTCTTCAGTTTTTAATAGCTTACTGTAAAGGAGAATTGAAGGATCTAATGCCCTATAGATCTTTTTGACGTAAATACGTCTATAAGGAAGGGTCATTCGGCAAAAAAGGGGAACGAAAAAGGGAAACGAAAAAGTGTAACAATGGTTACCTAGGAAACGTCGTGTTTACTCGGTATTGTTGTTACCTAGCGGTTAGAACGCTGGCCTTGTAATCCTGGGATCTCGGGTTCGATTCCCGACGGTGCCCGAATTTATAACTTGTGTTGGGCAAGGCCGTGGTCTAGGCAACACAGAGTTTTCCTCCGGGGGCTTCCCCGGTTTCTCCATTCACACACAGAAGAAGGCAATGGCAAACCACTTCTGGATCATCTGCCAAGAACGTATATGAACAGGTCCCAGTCCGAGAAAAGGATGGAAGGATCCTGTTCATATGGACCTGTCGTCAGACAGAACACTAAAAAAAAAAAGGTCTCTATAAATTTGGAGATTTCGCGTTATGTAATATGAATTTACCCCTTAATTTGTCTTAGGTAGTCTAGCGGTGGTCTAGCGGTTAGAACGCTGGCCTTGTAATCCTGGGGTCTCGGGTTCGATTCCCGGCGGTGCCCGAATTTATAACTTGTGGTGGGCAAGGCCGTGGTCTAGGCAGCCCGGAGTTTTCCTCCGTGGCATCCCAACAATTACTCATTACTCCATACACACAGAAGAAGGCAATGGCAAACCACTTCTGGATCATCTGCCAAGAACGTATATGAACAGGTCCCAGTCCGAGAAAAGGATGGAAGGATCCTGTTCATATGGACCTGTCGTCAGACAGAACACTAAAATAAAATAACCTTACATTACATTACATTCAGCTACCACAGACCCATCTTAAGCGTAACTAATTCAAGTTAAATAAGCAAAGTCTTAATCAAAATTATCTCAATTGCAAAGCATGTATAAAGGAAATATTTAGAATAAAGCCAATATATAAACTTCCTTTCCGTATAGACGTATTTACGTCAAATTCTCCGGAACCATGGTTCCACTGACACTTTTTTCTTAAATATGTCTGAATGTCCATTAAATACATCGTGTATCATCTTCAACGTCACTAGTTTTATATTTCTTTGCAGCTTATCTAGAGCTCCAATATGACATACCGCCATCTTCCGTGGGTAGCAAAACCAACAGTTTGCTGCCAGGAATAGAACCCGAACATTTATATGACGAGATCCCCTGCTGGCGGAATACTGCAACTACCCCTGTTAACACGGCCACCAACACGTCTCAGTGCTAAATAAGTTTGTCAATGTCAATATCGCAATTTGAAACAGAATGGACGGTTAACTATGATCCGTAATTGATCTCCAATTAACAAGTAAGTTTACTTGAAACAGCGAAATGTAATTCCTTAGTTGTATAGAACCTATCAGATAAGATGAAATAATTTTAAATATTGTGTTAGTCAACAGTTTACTCATGATTAAACTTACTTCTCCCTTAAAAAATTAATTCTTTTTTCAACACCCCCTTTAATAATATCACAACTAATTAAATGAGAAACTTTATCATTCTGAAAAATGCCAATAATTTTATGAACGAATGGTGAATATTATATGTTTCATAAAATTTTGAATGTTATTTTAAAAAAAGAGATGTAAACTAGATTTTAGAAACTACAGGTAACCCCCGATTTACGCCGGAGATGCGTTCCTGGACGAACCGGCGTAAATTGAAACTCTTTTATAATGTAATTAAATGGGAAGTCAATGACGTGAGTTCCCGGCAACCAAACTTTGACGAGTAATATAATGGCATTACATTTAAAGCTCTGAAATAACGTAAATAAAATAAAGGGAATTTAAAAAATATATTTTATACACTTAAAATCGGTAATTCGTTGGTCCCCGCTTAAAGCGCCAGGAATGAAATTGCATAAGAGCAAACCCGCATATGCATAAGTTTGCATTTCACAAAGAGATTTTACCGATTCATCGATCTCATTGGAGCGAATTCGCATTGACGAAACACACGTAATTGCGGAGATGACTGTATTTATAATTTTTATTCAAAATCAGCGATGTACGAATTACGATTTAGTACAAGAATCAGTACGAGATACATTTTAAAACGTTATAAATAATACTAAAATATGTTTTCTTCACTTTTTGACTTTCTGGTTTCAAAATCGGCGTTATTCTGAATCGGCGCAAATCGAGGGTTACCTGTATATATTACTAGGTCCATTAAATATTTATATATTATTTTTATCCGAATTTTTATACGCAAGACACTCTATTCTGATGCTGTGTCTGTTATACACTCCTAGAGGACAAGAAGTTGTGGGAAGAGATTATGATGTTTGTCAACAAAATTGCTTGTTTGTTGTTTCTCGGCACTACAACCCTGTTGTCGGTTTTCGCCGCCTCCTTTTCGGAGGTTTCTTGGTCTTGGTAGTGCATTTATGAGTAGTGAGTGACTAGCCCACTGCCTCAGCACAATTTCTACTCAATCCTGATTTGACTGCCAGAGCCATCTAGAAGGAATCCGGAGAAACTTGTGTGTGAAATGGCTACTGAACTTTGCGTACGAAACATTTCGTATCATGCTCGTAAGATTCTCTTACATGAAGTAAATCTACGACATGGGACCACTGGCTTTATTTCCCCTCCAAAGGAAGTTGTGCTACCGAACTAACTTTAAGTACGAGCTGCAAATGGGAGACAATATTTCAAAACAAAAAATAAACTCATAAAGTCTTTAGTTGGTAACGCCTCTTGTTTTAACTTTGTCAATTCGAGTTTCTTTTTAATTCCTGTAATAAAATTACTTTGTTGTTGTCAAAATGTATTACCCATAATGCATTTCTGCCTTTACATACAACTAAATATTATGTTCAAGCTTATAAGTACTTTCAGGGTTAAAATTAGACGTTTCATAGGCACGACGCAAACAAGTCTGGGGTTATGAGAAAACGTGGTAGCTCTAGATGAGCCCTTTTCGTCAGCATGTTGTTTGGTAAACGGCCAGATCTGTGTATTATAGTTGAAGAAACTAGCTAAACGAGTTCTTTTTTTTTTAGAAGTTCGCTACAGGCCTGCCAGGGGGTCTAGTGAGATGGTCTTCTGTTTACATTTCCCTAGTGATGGGAATTTTTGAAGGTAGGGTTAGCAGTGTATTGGGACGTAAGGGAGGGGAGGTATTGGCTGGTGGAAGTGATGTGCAGTGCGGACTTTAGTCTTGTACCGGGTTGCAGGGAAAATGTTTGAGGTTAGAATAGAGAAGTAAATATGTAATATTACGTCTGGAAAATAACTTTTGTTTAGAGAAACAATACATCTGTTTTCTTGCGCAGTAGAAGGTGGTAGACTCATGATTTTAAACTGTTGTCGACAAATCTGTGTTCAAACGACTGTTCTGTTTGTGGGTCGTCGATTCTGTTCTTTCGAAAAAGAACCCGTTATAGTGTTTGGGTCTATATTTGCAACGGGCTGTTTATTCCAGTGTACGACAATAATGTGTGATTATATTATAGAGTGTCTAGAAACTTCGGGACGTTTTAGAACGTAGTCTGATCATGTGTTTGTTTATGGAAGTATGAATTTAAAGTAATTTCGGCTCACAGTCATAAGTAATTGCAATCATACTTCCAATTCAATTAAACATTTTTTCTTCCTACATTGGTGATTATATTTAAAAACGTTTCTCCCAGGCTTAAAAATCATCAAGAAGTTACCAGTTTATATTTACAGTGGCTGTTTTTTGTGAAAATTAAAATTAAATATGATTCTAGTGTTTTAAATTTAATCTGTGACGAAACTTTTCATATCGAACGTGAACTAATTCATGAGGAAGTACCTGAAGAAGACCTGAAGAAGTTGAATTCAGTGCACCTACTATTCACTGCTAATCCAGGATACTGTTATGGTAAGTTGAACCAAACTTCCAGTGAATGTAATTTGTCAGTTTTTACTTGCGTTAAGTTGTTCGCTGTAGCTACTAGGAAGTTTTGTTTACAGTTGGACAGACGGACAGATTGAATGGATGGACTTTATAATGCAAGTTTTGTTTCCTTTTAATTTAGAAGTCATTATCCAAGCATCTTTATATATTTATATTACGCTTTATAATTTGCAGGAAGAATGATAAATTCAGTCGAGTAGACATTTTATTTTATTTCATGATGCACAAAATAATTTCAGTTTCAACCGGAATTTATGAATTGGATCAACGTAATGGAGTTATCCTTTCACTTTCGGAATGATTATGTTTTTAAGAGGGAGACACGAATTGGTTAACTTCAAAGCACCCAACATAAAATCTTTCAAAAGCTGTAATTGTAAGAGATTGTCCCATCGCCACCATCCGTTACGTTGGTATTATAGACTGTAGGAAGTTAAGTAAGTATGCATTTTGTGTTGCGAATAAATAATAATAAAATTAAATGCGATATTCCATTGCGACATTAAGATTGCGAGGAGGGTTTATAGCACACACTGTACAGCTAGTAATAGATATAAATAAAATTTAGTGTGTTTTGGTTCGTGAACAAACTTGATACAGTTATTTATACTTTGTTTTTATTCGTAAGAATCTGTTTCATTTAGATGGTTCTCTAAATGCATCACACCAGACACCCGTAGATTTGATTTTATTGATAACACGACCATTTTATGTCTTTAAATGTACTGCATTCAGGGCAGAGTTGCCATCAGCGTGACGAAGTCTGTTCACGGTCTGCGTCACGTGTCTCTTCCTCGACTTTTCTTCTGTCATCCTCGTATTCGACAGAATCCAGATCCTCTCGGCTTGCTATGCAACCTGCAATACGAAATCTTCATCAGATTAATATCTCATATTTAAACTTGCTGCTTTAGCTGAAATATACCAAAGTATGAATTTATCCAGTCTTCAATAATGGGGAGACACGGGGCCAGACACTTAAAACACAAGCAAAATTTTTATGTTTTAGTATCTCGTTTCGAGTCCTCACTAAATTACTCTGTGACTTCGTGAAAGAAATTTTTAACGAAAAAAATAAATCATCGCGTGGAAACGAAGTAGAAAGAATTTTTGAAAACGTAAGCTTAGTTGTCGCTAACAGTTTACCTTAACCTATAATTCCTTCGTCATTTATACCTTAACATTGTTAATCTTTTGTTCAAATTTGCATAGCTGTCTTTTACGATGTATGTAATCAATTTCCCCCTCCGTAATGTGAATCGGGAATTAGCGAACACTTCTGAAAAGTCAGGCTGCATTAATGATTTTTAGAAATCTCTGTATGTCCATACTCTGTCCCATCTGCTTTGTTCTAACGGAGTTAATATCCATTCGCGTCCGTTTTTTTCTTGTTACCGTTGCTTACGATTAGAAGATACATACGTTTCTCAGTCGGTTCCCAGCCGATGTATTCTCCAGTCTGCTTATTATCTTTCTCCAGCCAGTCCGCAAGGGGTCTGAAGTAATCCAGCAAACCACTAGCGTCCATTTCTCGCTGCCCTGTTAACACTTCCATGGCGTCTGGCCACGGTTTTGATGACCCCAACTGTAGCATTTTCCTGCAACGTTGGATGTTTTATAGTTTAAAACACCTTTATTGTCGCTTTCCTACTTAAACTGAACGACAATTTTATTCATCTGACAGAACGTGGGAATTTAACATACTGTCCACAGATCACGAGAAAAGCCCTGCTGGGGGAAGTCGTTTCTGGTGCGGTGCGGGGGGAATGTTTACTGTCTGGTAGACTAGAGGGCTGCTATTGGTGGGAACTGTGATACGTCAGAGTTTTACGCTACTACACAGACTGAAAACATCAAGCAGTTAAGAGTAGCATGTAGTGAGCGCACCTCTAATGTGTTCTGCGGGTGTTGTGATAATATTCTAGATTAAATCACTGTGCCTCTGTGAGGTAATCTTAAAGCTGAACCCATTAGAACACACGAAAGCCTGTCGTCTGTTGTTCGTTCAGTGGTTGTGGAACGAATGCCTTTAGGATCGGTCGCCACTCACCGCGAAATCTTGCGCATGCGCGTATATCGAATTCCTAGCAGGGATTTTCTCCTGATCTGTGGACTGTATAGTGGCCCTACTTTAACCTTGAAACAAAAATGAGCTTTGAGCATTATACGTAACAATGTTTTGTCACCTGGGTTAAACCCGAAGATTAAAGCGATACGTTTTCCTAGAATACCGGTAACCACCCACAATGACGTCACAAGCCGGAAAAACCCTCGCATCTCAGATTTACACTACAAGTTCCAGAGCTTCGTAACAGATGGCAGAGTACAATAGAAGTTTTGTATCACACCAGAAGTTTAAGAAATGTTGAGTGGATATGCTAGAGCAGTGGTTTTAATAATTTGTTCACTGATTTTACTCACATATTCCATATTATGTGACACTGCTCGTCATTGTAATTTTCTCAAGAATATACGTAATAGTCCTGGGCTAATCTAGATACATCATAGCAGTAAAGTTAATAATATGGAGATACCTGAGTAAATTAAATAGACGTTAATACCAATAAAAATCAAAAGAAATTAAAATTTTAAAGAAGATGGCTGTCGTCTGGGTTGTTGCGCCGTGTAGTATGGTAGAAATTTACCAGCGTTTTAGGGATACTTGATGCCTCCATCATTTCATCGCCTTGATGATGGAAGCAGCAAGGACCTCTGAAACGTCGGTGAACTTCCACCAGACTGCACGGCGAAACAACCCAGACGACAGCCATCTTCGGACTCACCGCTTTAAAAACCTTAAATCCTAATTTGAATGTTTAAATTTCTGGAGCACCCTTGAAAGTTGCTTACGAGTATTTGACAATTGATTAAAGACAGAGATACTGAGATAAAGGCCTCTGTATTAAGCTTTCTAGCAGCATTACCGACTGAATTATTAATGTTGATTATTTATATTAATGTTGTTTTTAAATAAAAGCCAAGTTGTTTGCTGGTCCCACTAGTTTAATAACGTATCATACTGTAATTTTTTAACGTAAAAGTGTGTTCTTTTGAATTTTTGCAGATAGCTTTAATTGGTTACTGATAGCTTCCGTCTCACCAATTTGTGTTTTGTAAATTACAGTTAACACCACATAAAAATAGCATTAGACACGACTGCATCGTCCCAAATTTAAGGAAGATAATTTGAAAACTTGCCAAACTTCATATGCCAATATTCAACATGGGTACATCGACGTCTTATTTTAATTACATTTCCGATTTGAAATTACTCAAACAACTACGTCAGTCAGTATTACACTCGGAACTAAGTTCACGTTTTTTTAAAGAAAGATTATATTATTTTATAGGTTATATATTACCCTAGAAGATTTCCAGCCTCGGTGCTTCTATAGATGTCACATTCGTGCAGAGGTAATTTGGGGTCTTTGGGGTCAAACTGGCCAGCTTTCTCGCAAAGGGCTCTGTGAAACTGGAACTGGATCACGTAGCTTACGAAGTACCTGAAACCAAAATCACCAATCATCAGTACCGATTTCTTATTGTGGCGGGTATTAGACATTACAACTTCGTTTAAATATAATTGACTTTATTTGTAGTTATTGCTTCGGACATATCATTTGCATCTAACTTCGTTTTAAACAACCTAAAAGTTAATAAGAAACTTAAGATTGCATCTTTAAAAATATTACAATTTTATGAATTATTAATAGCATTTTGGTGTACAGATGTCATTCTACACTTACTACACGATAAACACACACACACAGATATATATAATAAATTATAAACACTTCATATTTATATTTATTTACCTGATGTACGGAACGCTGGCTATGACATGGTACTTTGAACCGGGGTCAAAATCTTCCTCCGTCCTGTCCACAGGTGGCTCAATTCCTTGAAATTTCTCTCTGAAATAAAAAAGAACATGAAGGAAAAGTTAGGTTATGCACTTCCAGAGATAATAATTGGACGTAAATTTTCGTTACAAAGCAGTTTGAACAGTTTATATGTATTTGTTTCCAATATATAGTGAATATAAATCGCGTTTTTTTAACTACAGTGGAGAATGTGATGTACTTAACATTCGAAAGTATTTGTATTTTTAGAAGCGGGGGTTTAGATGCAATTAGACATTGAAACAACTAATGACTGGATCTTATTAACATGATAATAAATTTTCAGGTTATGTAAAAGGTGGAAAATTTCTTGACTCGCTAAGCGACTGTTAGCTGCTCCATGGAGATAATTAATTTATCTTAATAGAGTAATGTTTGCAAAAAGTTAAACTTAGGATTATACAAATTTTCAGTTAATTAATTTTTGTCTCTTTTACTGACTGAAGACAGAGGACGAGTACCTCAAACCTCACAATTAACTGCACATGATTTACAATTTTCATTCAAGGAAACCGACTGAGAGAGAAATCTCCGCGTCTTTACTAAAAAGTTGTTAATATTTGCAAGTTAAATATGTCCTTGGTGTCCTGGCATGTTTGCGGGTCCTCGGATCTTGTTACGAAAATGGCAAATAAACATTTTGACAAACCTGAGTTTCCACCATTTGCAATTGTAATCATCGCTCGTAATTTCCCCCTTGAAGACGTCCCATCTCCACAGATCTGTCTGATACGCGTAAGGGAGGAACACTATTTTCTGTAGCCCTTGCAGAAACAGATAATTAATGGTAGCCTCGTAATCTTTTCCAGTCGATTCATCTCCTTCCAGCAGCCCGATCTCTCGCAGGTGTTTTGGAGTCGAAACAGACAGAGACATTACATCTCCCACGGCCTCGTGGAATCCTGTCCACATAAATTTAAAGGCTTTACTTTCAAGTCTGCGCTGACAACTTCTTAACTTAACTTAAATATTTATTCTAGTGCTACTGCTTTTGTTAATAGTTCTGCCATCTACTATTATTATTATTCAATTTATTTACCATTTTACAGGTTATTTAATTCTATATACCTGAGACAAATCTCAGTGCAGAAGCTATTTCTGAAATACATTTTGTTTTAACACATGTAACATACATTAAACAGATTTCGTCTGAGGCATTACTATATATTAAAATATACGCAACTTGACACCAAAGTTGAAAATTCTGTGCACCCTTTTCTTAATCGTGTATAAAAGCAATTCGTTATTACTTTTGCGAGTACAGAGAATTAAATTTACAGTCGGAAGCTATTAGAATGTAGAGCTACTCTATAACTTGCGGAATTGTGTAAAAGAAATCGGTCCATTTTGCGAAATTAGAAATAAGACATGAGATGGGTAGGACTACGTGTCCCAAAAACAAATTTAAATACGTCGTTGACGAAGACTAATACTCTTACTCAACACTGAATAGGACCAAACATTCCGATTAACTATTTTTTTAAAACGGAAGAAAGTTCGAAGTATCTTAGATCTTTCTTACCTAAAGGACTATTTGAATTTTCCTGTCAGCTGCTAAATGATACAATCTTAGTGTCTAAAAGAGTACAAATAGAATATAATTTAGATAAATGTTGAGTTTATAATGTCATTAGATGGATGATTGGAACACCCATTTTTAATTTGATATTTGAACCACGTCTAAAAGATATTCCACACGGGCGAGGACTGCCACAACAACAAAAATTCTGTAATTTGATAAATAAGTTGCAGTTAGGGATGGAAGCGTCTTATTCCAACAGTGACAGAACTCAAAACATTTTGCTTTTGAACAATATAGAATTTCAGATACACTCGAATGTAAAATGTACAGTGAGAAATTAACACTTTTTGAATATCGACCAGATGTTGATTTCAATTGTCAGAGTTCTAGAATGACAGTGCTGTTAATATTAATTTAGCCGTAGTAAAAATTATATCCTAAAACGAAAGTTTATGTAGAAATATATGCACAAAAAACTAGTAGACTGGTAGAAGTTTGTCAGGGGGGCCCCGGATCTCCCTGATGATGGAGGCAGCACGTACATCTGAAACGTTAGTAAACTACCACACTACACGGTATTACAGCCCAGACTACGGCCAACTTCAAAAAGACAGATCTCAGCTAATCTAATGTCGAGGCTTAAAGAACATTAATTGTGTGGATTGGATTAATCTGGCTCAAGATATGTGGCGGACTCTGAGGAATACTGTAGTTAACCTCCAGGCTTCAGAGAAGACGTTGAGTTTCATTACTAGCTGAGCGACTGTTAGCGTCTAAAAGACTCTTCTGCAGTCATTTCTTTCAGGCAAGTTGGTCGTTAGTATTTAAAATAACGGTTTTTAGTTGTGACTATCTCCACCGGGGCACGATGTACGATATACATCGTGTTTTCAGCTTTTCTATCGCCTTCATTAACTTGCATGTTCCTTGGCCTGTGCCCATGATACATTTCGAGGGATAAAATACCTGGATTAGCTCCTCTCTTGTAAACCTTTGGTTGGTGTTCATATTGGAGATAATATTGCACGTGGCCCATCTCATGGTGAGCTGTGAAGAGGTGTTTCGTGTTGACTACAGCACACTGCTTTATCCTGTAAAGAATAAAATGAATAGATATTTTTTATAATATACCTGGATTAGCTCCCTCCTTGTAGGCCAAAGGTTGATCTTTATACTGGATGAAATATTGCACGTGTCCCATCTCGTGGTGCGCAGTGAAAAGATCGTCCAAGTCAATTCTGGTACACTGTTTGATCCTGCAGAGTAACAGTATAAGAAACATTATTTATCGGCTGATATCTTGAGTGTGATGTGTACATTTTTGCCTACATATTTTCGTCATAATACAGGGTTATTCATAATTCCCTGACACATTACAAACAATCGCTAGACTTGAATGGTGCAATGGATGGTAACATAGGACATGCCGATAGAAAGAGAAACTCTCCAAGTTTATTTTACATACCTCATAAATGCTCTATGTGTCCGCCATTTGTGGCGCGTCAGACGTCAAGCCGATAACCCATTTCCGCCCTCACCCACTGCAGCATGTCACAATTGATTTGTGAGATGGCAGCTCAGGCAGATCCCGTGGCAGGGACGGTACAAAGACCTGGTCCTTAACGTACCCCCATAAGAAGAAATCACATGGCGTCAGGTCAGGTGATCAGGGTGGCCAACGAAGCAACGCATGATCATAGAGCATTTATGAGGTATGTAAAATAAACTTGGAGAGTTTCTCTTTCTATCGGCATGTCCTATGTTACCATCCATTGCACCATTCAAGTCTAGCGATTTTTTGTAATGTGTCAGGGAATTATAAATAACCTTGTACATTCTGAATGCAAATTCTGCTTTATAATGCTTCTTCTCACGCGTCAGGGAACTCATTTATGTTTTGAAATATCTTACTCATTTTATGAGAAAATAAAAATGTACTTTCGTAAGTTTTCAGAATTAAGATCTGCAGAGGCTGACATACAATTTACTTGAAATTGTATTTCACATCTTAGTAAATTAGTACTAGGACGCCAATATGATAAATGTTCTTAAATAGAAGAGTTGGTCTACAATTCCTGTATCTTACTTAATACGCCGCAAGTCTGACATTTACACACGGGATTCCAGGCGAAAGTGCACAGACTGAAGGAGATAAAAAATTAATTCATTCTCGATAAAACGTGTGAAACGATATACAAGTAAAATATGTACCATTTAACTGCAACATTGGTTATAAACTAAAAGGCACAGGAATTGAATTCAAACTAACCGGATTTCAGTTGGTCATGTGATCAAGCTTTGGTTTAATGAGGGCACTGTGGCAAAGTGTTACCCAATGGTGATGTTTCCCCAAAAGAAAAACCAAGAGTAATAAAGTCAGGTGAACGAGGTGGCCAAATGACAGACCCGTCCCTGCCAACCGTTTTCTCTAGAAACTTGCTATTTAAATTTCCGCCCATTCCTTGTGGAGGCGCTCCGTTTTGTTTGAAATGCATGTCATCGGGACCCTTTTCCCCCCAATTTGACTTCAATTCCGTATCTCGTTGTGGTACTGAATTTACGGTCCTCTCACTAACGTAAGGCGTGTTCCTTGTTATTTTACAGCATCCAACAATTTGTGAAGCAGTTGGGGCCAACTTAGATTAGTACTCAAGACTTCCTTGCCAAGATATCGCTAAATCATTCGCAAACAGCAGCAGCCATTTTGATGCCAAATAATATTCGTCAATACGTCATGATAGCCACGGTGGTCTAGCGGTTAGAACGCTGGCCTTGTAATCCTGGGGTCTCGGGTTCGATTCCCAGCGGTGCTCGAATTTATAACTTGTGTTGGGCAAGGCCGTGGTCTAGGCAACACGGAGTTTTCCTCCGTGGAATCCCAACAATTACTCAATTCACCCACAGAAGAAGGCAATGGCAAACCACTTCTGGATCATCTGCCAAGAACGTATATGAACAGGTCCCAGTCCGAGAAAAGGATGGAGGGATCCTGTTCATATGGACCTGTCGTCAGACAGAACACTAAATAATAATAAAAATACGTCATGTTTGCACCTGCACAGTATTTGCGCAGCTGACGTGAGCAGCGGCCTAGCAACTAGGGTAATCATGACGTATGTCACGGGGGAGGTTGGGAGAGACCGATTTTTTTACCGTGGTACTTGATCGTTTTGTGGTTGCGTTTAAAATGACATATAATTTGGATCAGAGCACTGTGAAATACCTGAAGTCCTTGCCATCGTAAAAGTCCCAGGCCGAGGCGTGGCAAATCAGTTCTCTGTCATCAGGTTTCTCCAAGATAGATCTCTCCCAGAATGTTTCAGGCATCGCACTAAGATTGAGAGATATGAAGAATTCCTCCGCGAGTTTAAACATCTTCAGAGGAGTGTAACCCTGAAAATAACATTACAGCAAACGTCACTAACCTTACAAATACCGTTTCGTGACGTTATTACGAATACTGTTATAAATAAACACGAAAATATAACAATAGATGTGTAAGAATCCTGTTTGATTTGTAATCAGTACATCACAGTTAGAATATGAATGGAATTAAATTACACTTGCTTCGATTGAAAGTCGATACTCGGTTTAAGGACTTTGCCCACAGGCCACTATTCTGAACAGAATATAACGTTTTGAAATTTGATCTACATCCGTCCTGAGATAAGAAGATAAAAGGTTGAAGTTTCGAGCCAACTCTTACTAACAGACACCCGGAGACACTTTCATCTGTTCATCTGAGGACGAAAAGAGATCGAGTTTCTGAAAAGTTGTTTTCTGATGGACAATGTCTAGATAGAAACTCAGGAAACTAACTGACCTCTATAGGATTAAATCGCTACATTCAATTGCTAAGTTATCTCAACTCAGAAAATTGCAGATTAAAGATTTGTTTCTTGCTAAAGAGTGTGACCGATAGAAGAAAAGATAACACAAAGTGTAAAACGGAGTGTAAAATTAAACCTTGATGCTATGGAGTTCACTGCAAATGTAGGAAAATATGTAGGAGTAAAGTTACAGTTGACACGTGGCTGTCATGTAAACTCGATAATTTTAACTCGAAATTTCCTTGGAAACGGATAAGGATAATGAAGCCTGGGAAGAAAGAGAATGAAGATTGACCATGAACAAGAATGCGACGTTAATGAGGAGGATTAAGAGATAAAAATGATTATGCAAACAAAATATCTTCATGTCTCTGTTAACATTCGAAATATCCATCTGATTTTCAGGTTCCATTAGCTTTGTTGTTAACTGTTGCAGCCGATTTCAATTCAGTAGTTTAACACACGGTATGAACACCATCAAATACATTTAATCATAGTCCTCTCTACGTGATTTGATCGTTTATGGTCATATAGGGGGTTCATGTTTTAGATAGTCAATGGGCTGGTATCAAAAGTTAGGTTAGGTGTACACAATTACGACTCGAAATAAAACTGTTAACGTTTCAGGCTTGTTGTTAACAAAGTTTCAAAAATGCATCTATTAGCTAAGAAATGTCTGTGTGTTATAATTCGAGAACGTCTTAGTGGAGTTTCATTAAATTGTATATTTGAGACATCAGTAACGGACGCTTGACACGAAAACTTTGCGCGCGTTTCTGATCGATTCTCGAGATTCTCGAAGCAAGAAATGTATCGAACAAGTACGCTTAATTTTTCCTTGAGTCTCAGGATCTTCGAGACAACTTTAATGAAGGAATCATCTAGTAACTCGATAAAAGCTTGTCTGATTTTGATGGAAATTTATATCGAAAGTCCTTCCTCTTCCATCCTGCCTCATTTACGCTCTGTGCAATAGGCGATTAAGAGTCAGCATTAACGAATTTAAAGTCTAGAGTCAGTAACACAGCGAAGGCTCCATAATTCTTACGCTATGAGTTGGCTTGTATATCTTAACTTCTTAAAATTATAAGCCACATTAATTACAAAACATTTAGGTCTCTAAGCATTTGTTATATAAATTAGACTCTGGTCACTATTTTTATTTTTGTTTATTTCGCCTTAATACAGAATTTTACTTGAAATAATACATAAAAAATAAAGTATCCTAACGTGTGTTAGGATGTATCACCTAAAGATTTTTATAATAGACCAAGTACTGATACTATAGTGTAAGATAAATTTAGTTAAGGTTGACGTACTTTTAATAAACAAAAACAATGTTATTTGCGCTCTTAAAACAACTGCTATTATTTCTATCAATTAATGAACTAAGAATACCAAATTACGAGCGATTATTTCTTATCTGAGGAAGGCGTCTACAAACAAAACGCATTGTTTGTTTTCAGAAGTTTACTGCCCTTGGATCAGAAGTCTTGTCTCATTCTTAATATCAAGATAACATAACGAGCTGTATACTGTTATTTTGTTGGGAGTCGCTTATCTGTGGGATGTTTTCTATCTCTAGCCTAATTTTATACGCCTTATCGACAAGCCTTGCCAAGTAAATTAAAAATATTGACCCAGAAGAGGTTTTATCAAATTGAAGTTCGAGCTGTTTAAATAAAAACATTGTGTGAGTAAGAAGATTCCTGTCTTCTGGGTTGCAGCGCCGTATAGTCTGGTAGACGTTTAGCAAATTTTAAAAGATATTTGCTGCTTTTATCATCAGGGCGATGAGTAGGAAGATAGCCATATTACTACACTTATCGACTATCATGATGGAAAATTTTACGTGTAATTCCATACTGTTTCTGCGCAGTAAAATTCGGTGCTGAATTTAAAATCGTGTATGAGAGTTAATAAATTTCTTACCTGCTTTTTCATTTGAGGGGTGACATCTATAGCTTCTTTTTCGGGGTAAGGTGCGGAAATATCCATAATATTGTTCCAAGTTTGCGACCAAATGTTACCTGAATGAAAATGTAATTGTGTTAATTTTAGTCTTATTAATAAATGGTACATACCTTTTTAATCACAGATGGAGTTACATTAACTTTGATTTTACGAGGATATGGAGAATAAATGATCTGAATTTTATCCCATTTCTGAGACCACAAATAATCATAAATCAGCTAAAATCTTTTAGCAGTGTCTACTAACAGTATCCATTAACCATAAGCTACCTTCAAAATTTGAAATAACGGTGTAAAATTATAGGACAAAAAATATTAGCATCTTTATTAAATTTTAAAAGAAGTCTGATATTTTAAAAATAAACTATAATCTGTTACAAAAGACGTAAAAAAGACCAGGTCGCTAATTTCCTAACGAAACCAGACATGCTTAATGTATATGAAAAAGGCAAATGAAATATTAATTCTTAATCATGAATTCAGTTATTTAAAAGGCAGTCCAGTTAAGAACACGTCATTATTGAGATTGTAATGTTTCCTATTTAGTTAAAAAGCTCAGCGGCGCATCTAAACAGTAGGCTACATATGGTTGTTTCTCTCAAAAATGATATAAGTACCTGAAACATTCCCTTTCTGAAATACAGTTGGTATCACTGAACAGCACATCAGCTAAGTAGCATGAGTAGTATGGCAATCTTAATAACAGATTAAGAAATCAGTCTTTGGCTGACTTAATCAAAATACCTGCAACTATTGCCCTTCTGTTTCACAGACGAAGACCCAAAAATTTTACACCGCAATGGAACAACTATCTCATGATTGCAAAGAACGTGGCGATATTTAAGCCCCTTTCATTCCATTTCATTTGAAATTTATCTTGGCCTAAGAGTCGTGTGCAAGAGATTTGGAAACTCTTACGTGTCATGAAAACCGATAAAGGTGCATTCTACGGTTACCATAACAAGCAGATACAAAAGGCATAGAAATTTTGTCTCTAAAAGACTTATATAATTCACGTAAATAAAATTACTACCCTGTGCGTGGTCACGTGGTCAGTATTAAATATTAAACGACAAAGATTCTGATGTCATGGAACTCCAGATAAAAGTATTTTATGGTGTTTCGGTTCTAAAGGCATTCTTAAGTTAACCCAGCATTCAAGTTACCTGGGGCGGTGTAATGAAACGACGCATTGTGGATAATAATAATCCGTGGCGTAACAGCTCCAGAGAGCCAAAGCCGACTAGCTTGACTGCTGGCCTCACGTTCACATGCCTAAGCAGAGGTGAACGATCATCCAACCAGATACAGGGTGACGTGTGGTCAGCACGACGAACCCCCAGCCATTGCTAGCTTTCCTGACCGGATTACGCTACTCATTTTAGCTCCCCAATTTCCTCACGATGCTGGGTTGGCACCGGTCCCAAACACTGGTCGAAAGCTCATGAGAAAATTTCTTTCCCCGAGACTCGAACCAGCGCGCATTCCGTATCACCGGTCCGAAGCATGATGCCTCAGACCGCGCGGGACATTCAAACTTAAAGCTTCGAATAATCACTGATAAACCGTTTATAGCGTTTGGTTAGCCAACAATCTTGTCTCAAGAAACCAAACCATTCGTATAAGTAACTCCAGCTACCAGCTCTGCATAATATTGTTTTATTAATATTAATATTGAGTTTGTTTAGTGACTCCAACATTTTTCACAACATATCTATATTACTTCTGAATCAGGCTTAGCAAGGAATGCTTTTTAAATATTTTGTTCTACGTTTTTCTAAATATTGATTTAACTTGTGCTGGTTCAGCTTCAAAACTAAATGCCAATAACTCAGCTTGGAAGCCTTGTTATATTTGGTTAAAATGGTAATTTATGACATGTTTCTAATACGCTCAATCGCTGACGCCACTAGCAAGAATTCTGAATAAACAAAATGCTTGTAATTTGTCAGTTCTTACCTAGAAGATGTGCCGGTATGGGTCCACGACGAGTGACGAGTTTCTCGCCGTAAGTTTCTCGCAGTTTCCTCCTCACATACGCGTGTATCTGGAGGTACAGAGGCTGCACCTGGTCCCAAAGACGCGACACTTGGTCTCTGAAGTCAGGAGATTCGTAATCCTTAAGCCAGTACTCGGCGGTGTCAGTGAAGTCTAGAACAGATTTCCCTTCTATAAGTAGGTGCCCGAATTTATAACTTGTGTTGGGCAAGGCCGTGGTCTAGGCAACACGGAGTTTTCCTCCGGGGGCTTCCCCGGTTTCTCCGTGGCATCCCAACAATTACTCCATTCACACACACAGAAGAAGGCAATGGCAAACCACTTCTGGATAATCTGCCAAGAACGTATATGAACAGGGCCCAGTCCGAGAAAAAGATGGAAGGATCCTGTTCATATGGACATGTCGTCAGACA